TCTTTAGCACACAATCTGGCTGTTGTGTCATCTATTCCACATGATCACATTCCCAAATCTAGTTTTAGACATGATCGCTCCCTCACACAGTTCCTTACCAGTGTGTCATAATATTAGGAGGGTAGTGTGCCATCCTGTGGGAATCACAGAAGTAACAACCAAGGAATCAACATTGGTAAGATACTGTTATTTAATCTACAAACCTTATTCACATTCTGCCAACTGACAAAATTATGTCACTTGCAGAACACTGTTATCATCACTGTTATCACCATCCTCTTGGACTAGGATGCAATCAGGGTGACTTGCTGCATTTAGTTGTTAGGAGAGAAGGTGATGCTTAACCTGAAGCCTGAAGGGTGAGGATGAGTTGACTGGGAATGGGGGAGATGTTTCTGGTAGAGAAAGAAGCAGATAAGAGCTTTCAAGGAACTGTGCCGAGTGCAGAGGTATTGGAATAGGATAAGGAAAGGAGTCGAGAGTGCTAGGAGGTGAGGTGGAAAATGAGGACCTTTCCCTTGCATGGTAAGCTGAAAGAATTTATCTTGTGGGGGTGTGGCTTCTCAAAGGCCAGTGTTAGTTCTTCTCCATGTGCTTATCTCCCTCTATAAGATCTCATCTATATGTCCTGGGAGGCTGATCTCCATGGACTATGTCACTGGGGCACCCCTGTCCTTTGGTGTCTTATTGGCTTTAGCCAATGGGAAGCAAAGGCAGGGGTCAGAAGGTTGGGGTAGGCAGAGGTTGGCATGCATTCTTCATGCTCATTTTCTTGTCAGTATGGTTTGTCAGCAGCTGTATTCTGTGGTTTCTGCTTCTGTTGGGAGGGTCCTTTCTCTGGGTTCTGCTAAAATGATTCCCTTGCTTTGTTCTTTTAGGTTTAGGGGTGGTAGAGCTTCCTATTGTAGATATCAAGCTAATTCAAGCAATAATAAAAGTGATAGGTAATTTATGTCTTTTTAGAAAAGAACCGAGTTAGAAAAATAAAAGGATATTAAAGCAAATCTCAAAATCTCTCATTAAGAAATCTGGTGAGTTTTGATGTGGGCCCAGTGATGATGGCATACAGAAACCAGAGGCCTTGAACCAGACCAAGGACTCATTGCAGTAATCATTCTGTGGGTGGGGCTGATTGGACAAAAGGGTGTACCACATGGCATATCATCTCACACTAGGACAAATGAAGAGGTGTTGGAAAGATGGAGGAGTGAGGTGGGTTTTTGATTGTTTTGTTTTTAATTAATTTTGGGGGACATACTGCAGGGGTGAAGGAAAAATATGGAGGGGCTGAGAGGTGAGCGGAATTGAGGTGCGGGATGTGAAATTTGCAAAGAATCCATAAAGAATTATGTTTTAAGAAGTACAAATATTTAAACCATGAAGTTATTAGAATCGAATAAACAAAAGTGACGAAAGATGGAAAGCTTGTGAACCAGTGCTTTCTTTCACTTCTCTGGGAAGGTGGCCTACTAAGCCAGTCTGGGTCTCTGCAGCCTCTCTCTACCTGAGGCAACTGTGTATGGCGAGGAGAGACAGGCCATGGAGAGGAGTTCATCTGAGGCTAGAATGGGTGAGGAAAAACATTCTTTTGGCACTAAATTGTCACCAAAGTATAATGTAGTTCAGGCAGCTAAAAATGGCGATAGTATTTAGTCCCAAATTATAATAGATACACCCAGCAAGTCATTCTACTCCTGTTGGGAAAGGCCGTGGAACTGGGGCCAAGCAGTTGGCTTTCAGGAAGTGAGAAACTTCGGGGACACATCAAGAATGAGTGTAAGTTTAGTTCTGAATTGATTTTAATAAAGGAGTCTAGGAACTTAGCAGAGTGAGACTGTGGGCTTGTTGCCAGTTCCAACTCTTTGCAGCTCTGGGAGCAGATGCAAGTTTAATTGCAAGGTGGTGGGTGGCTGGGGACTTTTAAACTTCTTTATCAAAGTGCCCGCTGTCTACGACTGCAGTAAAGTTGGGACATTTTGTCACTGGCCTTTTCTGGTCATTAGTATGTTTCCTTAAATTCCAGGAAATAATCTCATGTGGCTGCTGGAGGACTTGCAGAAGTAACCATCAGCTTGTTCTCGGCTCCTACAGCCAACCACACATGGAAGGAGTAGTTTGTCTTGTTCACAGCAGAGGCCTGTACCAGATACTCACATAAGTCTTGCTTTTTTAGTTTGTTTGTTTGTTTGTTTGTTTTTTGGTTTTTTGAGACAGGGTTTCTCTGTGTAGCCTTGGCCGTTCTGGAACTTGTTCTGTAGACCTGGCTGGCCTCGAACTCACAGAGATCTGCCTGCCTTTGCCTCCAGAGTGCTGAGATTAAAGGCGTGCACCCCACCGCCTGCTGTAAGTCTTGCTTTTTTATCTTAAGTCAATTAGATCCTTTCCTTTCTCATCTCTTCTTTTGCATCTGACAGCCTCTCCTTTGCTAGAACTAGTTCTCAGTGACGGAGTGTCATCACATTTCCATCTACAAGAATCTCAAAGTTTAATGTTGCTGGCATTTGCAACAAGCTTTCTCAGTGAGTACAGAATAAGTTCTTAGTACCAGCAGCTGTTTTTGAAAGGGGGAAAGAAGTTGGAAATGTAGCCATATAACTGGGGGAAAGTTTCGTTACCGTCAGCGTATTTGCAAATGAAATTGTTCTTCATGTTGCACCGGTCATCATTCCACTGGAACATGTATGAGCCCCCGATGCCCGCTGGTGCCGATGGCTGATGGTACATGACCACGCAGATCTCGCTGCCACAGGAAGGTTCATCCACATACCAGTTCCTGAAGGAAAAGGATGGACAATGGAGACAACGGGAGAAACACACTCTAAGACCTCCATGTCTTTATTTTCTCATGAGGTTCCATCGAACCGTAAGTGTCAGATTCTGTTTCAGAACATGGTACAGAGAGAAGGAGGAATTGAAGCACTGCCAAAGAGTAGACACACGCTGTTGATCCAGTGTGGCTGTCACAATCAATCATCTGACATTTGCCACAACCTCTTTGCAGGGAGGAATATATCATATTCTTCTGTCTGCAAGATAATTATGAGCAGTCGCAGCTAGCGCGGAGCTAGTCTGGAAGAAGATCTTAATGCTTGCCTTCTCTTTTGGCTCTGTGCTACTTGGGCTTGGATTCTATCTTTTCAGAGATCATACATACTGAGGAGAGACATGACATATCTTTCTCAAAGCTCACCCTGCTTCTATCTTGCTACTTTCCAATAGCTACCTCTGCCACACCAGCCCCAGATGATGGATGAGAAGATGAAGAATCTGAAGGAGATATCCCAAAATATAGAAGCTGCTAAAGCAGGAGAGGGGCTGGGGAGAGGATAGGAGACCATCTTGGTCTTCAATAGTTTTCAAATCATTTGCACAGGATCAGGGAAATGAACCCCCTTGCCTTCACTCTGAGGTATCTTCCTTTTGCCTCTTTAGCTCCTTGAAAGGGTTCACAGTAGGTTTAGCTTTACCATCCAGTAGTTCCTGGAACTGAGTGGTGCTGCCACCTTGTTGAATATGTGAGAACCAGGATAAGGTCTTGGAGCCCACAGAATAGAAGTTTGCAAACATTTACCTCATCTGTCAATTGAGGGCCGGGCTTTACAGTCTGCCTGAGTACCTGATCTGCTTCTTTCCAGAGCTAGCTCCAACTCTCAGACTTTATCTAGACACTACTGCTCTGCCCATGTCTTCGCAAGCCTCTCTACAGGAGAGTTGGCTAAGAGACATGTCTTCTGGTAGCAATACAATGTGACTCTGCTTTAGTCCTGCGTTGCAGTCTGCTGAAAGGAAGATCCTTTGTTGCACCTACTGTGTTAAAAGAGTTTCCTGAACAACAGCTGAATTTATAATAAAACTCTGGATATTATTCATGAACATGTGGTTGGGGCCTTGGTGGAGACTGGGCTTTGTGCATCATTACTTAACTCCAGCACAACTGGTCCTCCCCATAGTTTTATGGCTTTATGTTACTTCATCTCGAGAGGGAGAGAGGGAGAGAAGAAGAGAGGGAGAGAGGGAGAGACAGGAGGTAGAGAGGAGGAGGGAGGGAAGAGAGAGAAAGAGAGAGATTGATTGATTTCTAGATAATATTTTTGAACTTAAGCCAGTTTTCAGAATTGTAACTCACAAGTAAGGGGAAAGGCCGGATGTCTAGGAAGAAAATCCTGTAATGCTGTGGCAGGTGTCTATAGTAAGAATTTCTTCTGTTCTTTCTCCAGGATGACCTTTGGCTATTTAACCAAATAGCCATACACTTGGGAAGGGGGATATGTCTATATATTGCTAGAATTATTAAGCATAAGGTATAATGGACACTGATGTCATCAAAGCCACACGTCAGAGTGGGAGCACATTGGGGCAAGCTGTTTAATCAGTCATCTCACCGTGGGCCTAACCAGTAGTCATTGGCCCAGCTCCAAAAAATATTATCTATCTATTATCTATCTATCTATCTATCTATCTATCTATCTATCTATCTATCTATCTATAAATTGGCTCTATTTTTTTTCATTTGTTGCTGTGAGACAAGGTCTAGTGTAGCCCTTCCAGGTGAGCCTTTAGCCAGCTGAGGCCAAACATGAACCTCATCTTCTAGCTCCTACCTCTGGAGTAGGAAGGATCCCATTATATACCCGTGTGCCTCAACTATCCCATTTTTAGGGGTTGCTGAGGATGGAACCCAGGGCCTCTGAATAGACCTATTTGTAGTTGGTATAGTTCCCCATTGACTTTTTAGGCCACCATAGTATAGAACTCCGAGCATAAACCTCCAAAACTGCATTCCCTCACCACAGCACCTTATCTAGAGTTAGATGGCAAGAAGCAGTTGCACTTTGAAGACTTGGTAGTGCAGAGTGCTGTCTCCCATCATATCTCTGCTTAGCTCACTTGTCTGACTCCTCTGAAGCCCAGGCAGACTAAAGTTTCATACAAGAGGAGCACACACTCAACCCTGCAGCCCCCAACTGTGGCTGTCATTCTATATGTGATATCTTTGCTAGAGAAATATGCAGGTCTGGTGAACACATCCAAGAGACTCTGGAACAGTTTACAGTCATCGGAAATGGACACAGTTTACACTTAGGGTTTTGCCTTATTTTGATTTTTTTCCTCACACCCAGTTATAATACCTGGATTTCCTATGACTTGTGAAGAAAATCATACTGGTCCATTATACCGCTGACCACTGTGCCCATTGCACCAGATAAGCAAGGGGAAAAAAGGAGACTTTAGTAAGACTCGTGTATTCCAGAAAGTTGGAGTAAAATTTAATGAATATTCAGGACCTATCACTTTGCTGGAATGTATAGATGTCTAGTGATCTGGACAATGCAAGAACATCCCTTTCAAATTAAATAAAAAAACATTATATCATACAATAATTTAAAGGAAGCATAATACTTGGCAGGTCTCTTTGGGTTCCAGAGGTTTCGTATTTCTCACCCGACAGTACTGCTGTGGTCTGTATGACAGATGGGCAGTTTTGAGTGGGATTCTGAGCAGAAAGGGAGTCTAAGGAGGTCTGGGCTCAGGTGTTTCTCACAATTGTACTTTCTTCAGCTCACACCCCTGTGAGCAGAAGGGTCCCTTGTGACTAGTTGATACAGCTAGCTCAATCTTGGGTCTAAGTGAAGTCAAAGAAGCTGAAATGACTTTACCACAGCTGCACTAAGGGGTGGCTTTGAAATCCAGTGATGAGGGGACAGCCTCCCACTGGCTAGAGCTTTAGTTAGTATACCTCATTAGCCACTTTATATGGAAGTAGAAGTTTTTGGAGGTTAAAACATATGAAACTTGGGTCAAATGAAGATGCACAACCAACTAGTAAGATATAAAAGAAAAAGAATGAAGGTTGGAGACAATGACATCTTGGATAGAATGAAGTGAACAGAGATAAAGAAGTGAGTGTGAAGTCTGAGAATTTTTTTAGCATGTGATAAGCTCATCAGGGAGTATCTTCTACAGAACTGGCACTAAACAACCAGGGAGACAAAAATGAGTGAGCCAAATGATGCCAACCAGCTGTTCTCAGCCACACCCATAGTATCTCAATAGATAAATAAGAACAATAACCATGGAGGCTCTGCATGGGTTCAACAGTTTGGATTGTATACAAGACTGATCTGGACAAACATCCAGCCTTCCGGCAATAGAGACCCATATTAAGACTGATGCTAACTCCAGCCTGAGTCGTTCAAGGTGACCCCAGAGATGGTCTGGCAACGCCAGTAAGCCAGCCATTGAAACCAACAGGCTGGGGAGGATGAGAAGGGAATAATATAGCACTGGTAATTAAGGAGACAAACATGACACTTGGTGGTAAGTTAGCTACAATGTGCCCTGAAATGGGACAGTTACTGATTTTGGTAGGAATAGATATGATCTGGGCATTGAGTTTGCTTTTTCTGCCTTGGGGTTTTAGTCAGATCCACTATCCAAAAGTGTAAATAGTGTCTTATCTGTCAAAATAAGACCCCAAATACAGTCTCATCAGGCAAAAGACCTATTTTGTAGCAAAGAAGGTGTGAGACTAGGCCCCTAATCATGGGAATTCCTTGTCAGATTACATTTGACCCCCATCCCAAAGCTGCCAGCTCAACTCATGGAAGAGCTTGTTGAAAATACAGCTGAAGCATCAGCCTCAAGGTAATTGAACTTTGGGGAGGGACATCATTCTCCAGTTAGCAGCGCATACTTTAAAGCAACAAGTTCCATTGCCCTGTGGTCTCTAAGAGTCGAATGCATGGGTCTGAAGCCAAGGGTTAAGAGCAGCAGTCCCTCCACTGAGTACCATCATCACTTGTGGAGTTTGTACTTCTCCTTTCTACAATGCTATACTCTTGGAGTTTGCAGTCACTTAGTTTCCAGAGGGGAATACTTCCGTTAGGAAACACAGCAAGAGTCTAATCAAGCCACAAGCCATGGTTACCATGTGGCACCTGGGATCTCTGTGTTCAGAGATCAGCAGAAGAGATGTCAGTTTCTAGGCAGGAGGTTATTTACTCTGTATTAGGAGGAGGTGGTTTGCTGCTGTATGTTATTGGTAGGAAGAGCCTGCCAGGTCATGTACTTGGGAGTATCTTCATGTCCACGTCTACTTTTGAAAGTCAATGACAAGGCATATTAACTCTAGGCTGAGAAGTGCAAGTTGACTAGAGCCTCATGCTCTTCAGAGATGACGGTCTGGTTATGCTACTAAGTCAGCCATTGAGACCAGCAGAAGGGGTGGGGTATGTTATGGGATAGTAAAGGTGGTATGTCAGCAAGTGTCAGTTGTGGTTCTAAGATCATCTGCAGTGATGAGATATATACTTCCTACTCTGAACCTTCTCTTTCAAAATTTCTTCCAGGAAAAGAAGGCTGTAAGAATCTCAGAGGAGTTTCTTTTACAACTTTTATGAAGATGAGGTCTTATAAGTAATCAGTAGAGAGTGAGAGTGGACATGCTGTTTGCATGTCTGCGTACCATGTGCATGCATGTCTGCATACCATGTGCATGCATGTCTGCATACCATGTGCATGCATGTCTGCCTGGACCTGCACAGTCCAGAGGAGGGAGGAAAATTCCCCCTGGAACTGGAGTTACAGTTATGAGATGCCATGTGTGTGCTGGGAACTAAACTTCGGTCCACTACAAGAGCAGCCAGTGCTCTTAACTACTGAGGTATCGATCCAGCCCAGATAAACTATTTTTTAATCTTTGTGCTTTTGAGTTATGGTGACTATACATTTTCCATATAATTGTAGAGCAAATTCGATTTTCTTCATTGTGAGCTCTCTGCTTAGGTCTTTTGTCTTTTTGTCTCCGAGGCTTTGTATTTTATCATCTTTATATTTAAATTGACATACAACTCTTTATCATATAGAGAGTAACTCTTTGGTACATTGTCCCCCCTCCTTTCCCATGTTCGTCTTATAATGTTGATATTTTGGAATGTTTGTCCATGTCCCTGTGTTTTTTAGGAAGAGATGATGACAGTGTCATGGTGCATTGTGGGGTGTGAGTGCTCGTCAGTATCTTCATGCTGTGTGTTTAGGAGTTTCCTACAAACTGTAGTTTTCTTGAAGTCTCCACCCTTAGTCAGTCCAGAGTAAGATGGATTCTTGCCCATATCATGATTCCCTGTGGTCTGGAGTCCTACCCTGGCCCCATCTTTATGTACCTTCAGTTTCTCAACATAGTCTTAGCTCCAAGGGCCAGAGAACCAGAGCCACAGATGCCTAGCATGGCATGCCATTGGAAAAAGTGCTGCTGGGCTTCACCCACCTGAACAGGGCACTTTGGGCCCAAGTCAAGGCTGAGTTCTCCGTTTTTTTCCCATACTGCTCTGATCAGTAACCATCCTGTTGTTACTGCCAGACCTTCTCATGAATCTGACACTGTGGGTCCTGCTTGACTGCTTTCTGAGCTGTATCAAGGGAATCAGTTGCTGTGGGACCCACCCACTTACCTGAATTGTGATGTGCTTCCATCTGTCCAAGCATAAAGGTCCTGGCAGGCTGTGCTGTTGCCCTGCTTCTCCTCCAGCCTCCTGAGGCCAATCCAGAAATCACCATCAGACGCCAAGAGGTTTTCGATGAACTTTTCTATCAGTCTCTGTTCATCTTCTGTTTCGATACTGACTAACTGTCCCCCATCTCTCCTGCAGGCTTCTTTGGCTTCCTCAAAGTTCACTCTTTGAAAAGCATCACGGAAGTAAATGACTTTGTAGCAGGGCCTCCGAGTCCCTCCCCGGCAGACCAGCTGCCCTAGAGGAGAAAAAGAAGGCAACCTGTTTCAGTGCCCCAAGAAAGGTGACCAGGGCAGATGTACCTAGAAACATGTGAGTGAAGCTGTTTCTGGGCAGGAATTCTGATGGTTTATCTGTGGATTGTTATCACTCAAGGTTTCTAGAGAAAATTAGTACTCCTTTACAACACAAACTAACCATGACTTTAAACTTTGATGCCTGTATCGTGTAGGGGATCAGTGTTTTTGTTCCAGTGCAGATTGCTGAAGATGTTTCTGTATTTTAAAGAGAATAGGTAAATACTTATGGCTTAACTTAATGCATACAAATAAGACATTCATGCCCTTTGGAAGTCCCAGGGAATTAAGGGGGCTTAGAATAGGCATTGTTGTTAAATGATTCCTTCAGTATAGAGGGGCATTCTCAAGTCAGTCATGGATTCCTTTTCCCTGAAGCCCCTTATCAATACAGAGGAACTCACTTGCTCAGCCTCTGATGTGAGCAGAAGCTAAGAGCATCCATGGGTTTTTCTGCTACTGATAATCAGGTCTCTGACCTAAAGATAATAGCTAGAGTTTACTGAACTTTTTCCATGTCCCATTAGCTATGGTAAAGGTTTTATTTTATTTTTTATTTTTATAAAAGATTATTCTTGGACTGGAGAGATGGCTCAGTGGGTAAGAGCACTGGCTGCTCTTCCAGAGATCCTGAGTTCAATATCCAGCAACCACATGATGGCTCACAACCATCTATAATGGGATCTGATGCCCTCTTCTGTAATGCAGGCATACATGCAGAGAGAGAACTCATACATAAAAATAAGTAAATATTAAAAAAAGATTATTCTCCTAACCCCCCAGAACAGTCTTTCAATGTCAAGACCATTTATGCCCCACTCCGTGAATGAGAAACTGAAGCTTCGAGAAATTGACTTGTCATCCAGCTCTCAGCAGCACTGTCAGAGTCAGGATCAGATCTGATTAGGAAGTCATACCAGAGTCACTGAATTGTATTGACGGTTCCCCACTCTCGGACAGGCTCAGCTTGCACTGGAAGCCCGTGTCTCCTTTGATTGACACTTGAAGGACTGAAGGCAGGTTCAGAAAAACGAAAGAGATTCCACTGAGCAGCAAGTAGCAAAACGTTCACCACCACAGGCTGCCTTAGCTTGTGTCTGGCCGGCTGGAGTCCTGCTGCAGCTGAAACCTAGCCCAGTCACCCTTTGTGCGCTAGACATTTACTGGGGGACTCGTCCTTGCCTGATGTGTTAGGAACTGAGAATACAGAAATGCCAGTTCCCAACCCACAGGAGCCCACAGCTTGGCTCTGGGTTTAGGTGTACAAAATAAAAGCCAAATTTCAACGAGGAGACTAGTCGCTTGCAATAAAAGAGCCAAACTGTAGGCTGCGGGTGTGAATGGCTGCCACCGAGTAAGGCATAAATGATTTTAGTTTCTGAGCCTCTTGCCAGACCTTCTAGAGTGTTTCAACTTCCCCAATATATTTCAGCTCTCCAGGGAGCCAGGCAATGTTCATTATTTCGAGTAATTGTCCAGCATACAGGCCGAAAGACCACAGACAGTGCTAACTGTGAAAAAAACAATACAAGATTCTCCCCCAAACTACACACTTAGATAAATTCTCAATGAGCAAGGAGCTGGGAGCATCCTGTACCTGTTGCTGCTAAATAAAAAGTCTCCAACAGCACAGGTTCCCAGAGGATGAGAAGTGCGGATGAGAAGTGCCGAGAAGCTGGCCTTGCTCACCAGGGAGGGAGGTGTCCAGAGAAAAGGAGAAGGCAGGCAGCAGAGGAAGGCAAAGGGGCCCTGGCTTCTCCCAACCTGGCCACTAGCTTAACAGAAACTGGAGTTGCCTTTACTGGCAGTCCCACCTTTCCAGGCCAGACTGCCAAGAGACAGCGTAACACCTTGAATAGTGTTTCCTGTGTGGTCCAGGATGGCTGCACACATCCCCTACTGTATGCTAGTGACTGCCAGGGAGCGCCAGAGCTGGAAGGCAGCCGAGGACCCATCTGGTTCCCCTGCCTTCAGGAAGTGTCTTTCTTTTCTCTTTTGCAGGAAGGGGAAGGGCAGGCAGGAGGTCTCCCATCCCCATCAAGCGCGAGCCATGCAGTCCTAACCCTCCCTGCTCCTCTGCTGAGCCGAACCACACCCCCCATCCTGAAATCAGAGTCCTTAAATTAGACCCACAAGCTGGGATTAGTGTACATTCCCATTTTTTTCCATCCTTCGGTTCCTCTTTAGCCAAAGGGGACCTGATTAAAAAAAAAAATACAGATATTCTCCCCCAGACATGCAGACTGAATGGAAGGAGAAAGAAGTCAGAGCACTGTACCTCCTCTGGGGTCCAAGTCCGAGGCTGCAGCGGCACACAAGGAAGGAAGCAGAGTCATTCTTGGAGCCTGGCAGGGCTGGTCCCGTTCTAACTAGTCTGCTTTCCCAATCTCTGAGTGCTCCCATTCCCGGCCGGCCACCCTCCCCTCAGAGGAGAGCTAGAGTAACAGGTAGGCTTCCCACAGTCCCGCAGACCCAGAATCCGCTGCCACCGCTAGAAGGATTCAAACACTGCACCGGGCAGCAGTGCTCAAGGGTGCAGGCGGTGGGGAACTCAACTGGCCCAAGTTTGCCCACGGCCCCACCCAGGCTACGTCCTCCCACTCACCCCTTGGTAACCCCTGGCAGAGAATGGACTTTTAGCGTTGCAGGATACCCAGGGCGGCCCCAGGAACCGGAGCTGGTTGCACATTTGCTCCCTAGAAGCAGAGAACTCAGAAGGGCAGATTGGGTCCCGGAGTGGATCTTGGGATCGCTGACTCCCTCACTACGCGAAGGGGTGCAGTGGCCCTGAAGACAGTCCTCAACAGCTGGAGTGTACTGAGCGCATCAACCCCAGGCGCTTGGGCACCAGCCCTCTCCCCAGGGCGCACACTCACCGCTCAGCAGGCGACCCTTCGAACCCCGCGGTTCTGCCAGCAGCACAGCCAGCAACACGGCCCGCAGCGCTGGTCCTGGCTGCATTGCTGGACTCCAGTGCGTCCCGACACCCCAGAACTAAGGCAGAGAAGTGGGCAAACAGGCGGCTGCGTTTGGGCAACTGCCACCAAGGCAGCCGCATCTCCGAAGGACCCACTGACTGGGAGGAGTCCGGGAGGGCGCAGAGTCCGTTAGTTGGTTGCCCCTCCGCCTCCTGGGACGTCACTGCGGGGAAGGCAGCCCCTTGGGCTGGCCCGCCCCCATGGCTGCTGGATCTAGTGCTCCAAGCTCCAAAAACTGCTAGCTCAGAGGAGGGAGCAGGCAGCGGAAGGGGCCAGCTCTCCAGAGAGCGCCGCCCAGGGAGATCCTGAGTTTGCCTACGAGAGAGAAAAACCCCACTAGGGATTGTCTGAACTCCCAGGAAGTGGGTACAGTATCTTCAAATAGTGTCATCCCTCGTCCTCATCACTACACCCAGTTCTTACCAAGTGGGTCGAGGATGAGGGAGGAAAGGTTTCTCAGGCAGTCGGTGTGTCTACTGACTAGGAGCGAGCGGTTCAGACTGAGGGGCTTCCAGGAAAGGAGGTAGGGCAGGAGTTCCTAAGAGGCCCCCGCCAGAAGCGAAAGTGTTCCCAATCTCAGTCAGAAAGCCATTTGCTTTGTACAGGACACATATTGGGAGGTGGGAATGGTTTGTGGAGTCCACCTTTGGTGGACAGAAAGATGACTCACCTAGGAAAGAATGATCCTACCCTTCCCCCCATAAAAGTTTTCTTAACCAACCTAGCCAAAGTGTCTGCTTCCCTTTAAACTCTCACAATAGTTGTGTTTATATCTGTGTCTTATGGTAGACGTGTTTTCAAATACATTCAAACAATAGAGCCCGTCTCCTGTCAAACAACAAACAAACAAACAACAACAAAAACAAAACAAAAACTATGGACTAACTAGAAAGCCAAGGGTTCTTTAGCTTTTCCATTATGCTATAATGTGAACCATAGCAGAAGCCATATCTGGGCTTTGGACTTCTGGATTTTGGTCTCAGTTTGCTTCTGTTTACCTATTCATGTAGCTTTTCAGAAGATCAGTCAGAAAAGCAAGATGGGACTGGAGAGATGGCTCAGTGGTTAATAGCACACATTATCCCAGCACCAGCGTGGCTCACAACCACCTGTAACTCCAATTCCAAGGGATCCCCTGTCCTATCTGGCCCAAAGAGGCACCAGGTTCACATGTGGTACATGCACACACATACATGCAGGAAAAACACTCAAACACATAAAATAGAATCTTTTGAAGACGAAACAGTGGTGCCCCCACGGTCTTGACCACTGCAGTTCTAAACGAACAGACCCAGAATAAAGGAGGGGTAGGAACAGGATCAGCCTCAGCTCCAGCTGAGACTATAGCAGGAGCTCTTGCAGTTGCAGAAAGCAGCAGACAGGGTGAGGACAAGCAGCCCTTCCCTGTGTTCTCACTAAAAATCTCACAACTAACAACTATTCTTCCTAGAACGTATCCCCATGAAGCAACAGCTGTTGTGGCGGTAGGGCACTGGAGTGGTACCTGATGTTCTGTTTAGAATGCCACCGTGTGTGTCCGTGTGTCTGTGTGACCTTTGGCATTATCATTATATTTCTTGGAGGCATTAATAATTACCTTAAGAGTTTTGTGATGGTCTGTCAAGGATATGTAAACGTGCAGTTACATTTGACTTAATGTCAGTTTAGGTGATTTTTTCTAATGTCACAAGATCTGTTGCAACTTATGAAATGACCATTTTGTTTCAAATAGTTAGATTGTGCCTTGAGTTCTCCCTGCGGTACTCTGACTTTGGTCCATATTGGCTTTGCTAGCATATACAGTAAACTGAGTGTAGTGACTTGCAGCAGTGACCCCAATTCTTCACACTTCCCAGGATACATATAGCCATTATTATGCTAATATAGTCAGTTCCCCTTACTAAAAATCTGAATATGTTTCTCTGGGCCAGGAGACTTGATTAATCCATAGACTAAACCAGAACTTTAGGAGCCTGTAGCAGAAAAGTCCTTTCATGTTCTGCTCATTCTCTTGTGTCTTTTGACTCAGAGGAGCATGCCTCAGCTATCCTTTTGGTCCATGAGCATCTCCAAGAGGGTGGTATGGAGAACAGGGCTGCCTCAGTTCGTTGACAGGCTTATAGTGTGACGAAGCTGCTTTAAGTGGCCTGAAATCTGATCAGTCAGACCGTGAGCTGACTTTTGAATGAGCAACAGTAAATATAGCTCTAGAACTCTGTTAAGCAGTACTGTTGCAGCAATAACTGTTTACCTGGCATCACAGGAATGTGTCACTGTGGGAGGACTAGTTGCAAAGAAAACTCACAATGTGTAATTTTTCTTTCTTTTGTGTTTTGAGAAAGGGTTTCCCTGTGTAGCCCTGGCTGTCCTCAAACTTGCTCTGTAGACCAGGCTAATGTCAAACTCACAGAGATCTGCTTGCCTCTGCTTCCCAAGTGCTGGGAATAAAAGCATATGCCACCACTGCCTGGCAGACAATATGTAATTTTTCTTGGTAAAATTTCTTTGGCCCAAGATCCATTCCTCAGCTTGATGAGCTCAAAGTTAACTAAGAGACCACCAGTTACAATGCTTGGGCTAAGAGTATTCTGCATTTTTGGAATGTTTACATATACATAATGAGATGTTTTGGTGATAGGACCCAATTTCAAATGCAAAATTGTTTCCTATACATCTTCTACACATAGTCTGAAGGTAATGTTCTGCAATATAATACTTCTGTTTTTTATATGTGATATATATCATATACACACACATATATATTTGTGATATATACATATATATATACATATGTATATATATCACAAATATATATGTGTGTGTATGTGTGTGTGTGTGTGTACTTGTGCATGTATGTATGGAGGCTAGACACTGACATTGAGTGTCTTCCTTCACTGCTTATTTTGCACTTATTTTACTCTCCATATTATTTCTTTTAGACAGTGCCTTTGATGAAGTTGGTGCTCACCAATTGCCTAGACTAGTAGGCCAGTGAAAGCCGTGCCACCCCTATAGATCTTCCAGTCCCTGCCTACAGGTCTGGGATTACAGGTGCTGGGGATCCAAACATGGCTTCTCATGCTTATGTGAAAAACAGTCATAGCCACTGAGCCATCTCCATAGCACCTTCTACTATATTTTTAGTGTGCCCATATTTTTATTGCAACCCTCACATGAGGCCAAGTCCAGAATTTTCTATTTGTGGTGTCATACCAGTACTAAAAAATATTTGGATTTTGGATATTCAACCTCTTTATGATTTTAGGTCTTTGGATGACAGTTGCTTAACCTGTAATATGTTCACACATTGAGAATTATAAACCTAGGGTAAACCAATGCTTGGCCTGTGAAGCATATTTTCTTCCTTTAGGCAAGGAAAGACTCCCCAGTGAACATGGAATCAGAGCAAAGGGTATTAGTTACATGACCTTAAACTTTAGGTTTTGACAACCTGCTCTGTCAGTCTTCACAGTAGCCACCTGTCCGATAAATACTTCAACATGACAGGATACCTTTTCTTCTTGACAGTACAGAGGGATACATCCTTAACCTTCTGTTTTCTAATATATACCAAAAGGAGTAGGATTTTGAGTGAAGTGGGTTGGCAACTGGGTTATGCAACTGTGTATAAAATACAACCATGCTGAGCCAATTATTCATAGACCCAGTAGCAACTCAGCCCTGGTTTCAGACCTATTCTAGAAATGGAATAAGCCAAATTTTGGGAAATGGGTAAGAGAAGTCTTTAAGTTTGTAAGAATGCCTTTTCGTCTGTGTTTTATTATTTTTGCTCATAGTACCAGAGTCAGAGGGCATATAGAGCCCCTTATTCTTCTTTATTGAGTATTCATAATACAAATAAAAATACACATTCTGAAAATATCCTTCAAATAAAACAAAAACCAGGAGTTTGGGATGTTTAAGATGAGAAAGATGATTACAGTATGACATCAAACACAATAGTATGCAATAAATAGACACAAATGTTCAATAACTGACAAAATCCACCTGTCTGTATTCTTAACTTTTATTGTAGTCTGTTTTAGCATGAATGTTCAGTAATTGTCAAATTTCTGGAAATATGCACATCTTTTACCTAGTGATCCCGATGTAAGCATAATTTACTTCAAAAGTGAATACATGTCAGTCACCTGCTACTATATGTCAATCAAATCATTCCAAGGCTTTGACTTCTTCTTGGTCCTGTTTGTTTGACTCTGATGAGACTTCCCTGTAGGCAGCAAAAAGAGTCAATTCTTGTACAATAGAATGCAGTCAGCATGATCACAATGTAGCAGGGGAATGACTTTTGAGAATTTCCCCAGTAGGCAGCATTGTAGATTCTGAATGTGTATTAAGGCTTGTGACCAAGTATGAAACACATGTCAGAGAAATAGTTATCACACTGGGAAGTGTGATATGAAGGGCATGAACCATAACCTCCTATCCTAATTGATTTATTTGATTACTCCTATATACTTTTACTCAGTCTCCCTTGAAAATGCAAATATTACCTGAGGGAGACCAGCTCCCTCTTTTTCTCCCCCAGGATACTCTTGAGCAGGGAGAAATGAGAAGTATGTAGATAGAAGTATAGAGGAGAGAGACAGTTAGAAACATAGGATAGATAGCCTCGGGAGGGCCTGGGTCAAAACCCACCAGCCCCTTC